CAGGGGACAGCCGGGGGAAACCTGGGGACAGCTGGGGGACAGCTGGGGACAGCACGGGGACAGCCGGGGGACAGACAGGGGGACAGCTGGGGACACCAGGGGACACGAGGGGACACCGGGGGACAGCTGGGGACAGCCGGGGACAGCTGGGGACAGACAGGGGACAGCCGGGGACAGCAGGGGAGGAGTACGGGACAGCGGGGAGGAGCAGGGACAGCACCGGGACACCGGGGACAGCGGGGAGGAGCAGGGACAGCACGGGGACACCGGGGACAGCGGGGAGGAGCAGGGACAGCACCGAGGACACCGGGGACAGCGGGGAGGAGCAGGGATGGCACAGGAGGAGCGGGGACAGCCGGGGGACACCGGGGACAGCGGGGAGGAGCAGGCGGCGCTGAAGCGGACAGGAGCCCCGCGGGCCAGGCCGGGGGGACACGGCCGGGGCCGGGGTGACAGCGTGGCCGCCGTGTCCCCGCAGACGCTGGCCACGCTGCTGATCACGCGGCAGCTGCTGCAGAACGTGCGGGAGGTGTCGCAGCCGCACCTGTACCGGCGCCTCCGCCGCGCCCGGCTCGGCGAGCGCGGCGTGCGGCAGCTCGGCCGCGCCCTGCTCCGCCTGCTCGCCCCGCGGCCGGCCCCGCTCGGCCCGCCCGAGCCGCCCCGCGGCCGCAAGAAGTGTCTGAACGGCGGCTGCGGCGTGCCCGAGGAGGACGAGGACGAGGAGGAGCAGCGGGAGCGGCGCGGCTCGGACGCCGAGGAGGAGGAGGGCGCGCTGGACTGCGGGCTGAAGCTGCGGAGGGTGAGCTTCGTGGAGCGCGGCGAGCGGCGAGCGGAGCCCGCCGGCCCCGAGGACGAGCCCTTCCTGGAGGAGGGCAGCCCCACCATGGTGGAGAAGGGCATGGACCCCGCGGCCGTGTTCGAGCTCTGCGAGGAGGAGGAGGAGGCCGAAGCGCAGCCCGGCAGCCCCGGCAGGGCGGCGGAGCCGGCGGTGCCGGCGAGGAGGAGGAGGAGGGAGGAGGAGGAGGGCGACGAGGAAGGGAGGAAGCGCAACCGCGCCTCGTGGATTGACCCCCCCGAGGAGGATTACTCCACGCAGCTGACGCAGGCCGAGGTGGAGAGCTGCATGAAGAAGTACGAGGTGGGTGGCTTGTGTCCCCTTCGTCCCCCTGTCCCTGGACCTGCTGGGTTCCCCAAGGTGTCCCGTGGGCTCCCCGAGGTGTCCCCGTGGCCATCAGGACCCCCAAGGTGTCCCTGGGGCTGGTGGCCTCTCAAAGTGTCCCCGTGGCCATCAGGACCACCAGGGTGTCCCGTGGGCTCCCTGAGGTGTCCCTGTGGCCGGTGGCCTCCCGAGGTGTCCCTTCCCGAGGTGTCCCACCCTGGAGCCCCCCCTGACGCCGGCGGTGGCACCGCTGTCCCCAGGACACCTTCCAGGACTACCAGGAGATGTTCATCCAGTTCGGCTACGTGGTGCTCTTCTCCTCGGCCTTCCCGCTGGCGGCCGCCTGCGCGCTGCTCAACAACGTCATCGAGATCCGCAGCGACGCCTTCAAGCTCTGCAGCGGCCTGCAGAGACCCTTCGGCCAGCGCGTGGCCAGCATCGGCCAGTGGCAGGTGGGGACGGGGACGGGGACACGGACATGGGGACACGGGGACACGGGGACACGGGGACACAGTGGGGACAGGGACACAGGGACATGGAGACACAGTGGGGACACAGTGGGGACACAGTGGGGACACAGTGGGGACAGGGACACGGGGACACGGGGACACAGCGGGGATACAGCAGGGACAGGGACATGGGGACAGCGGGGACAGTGGGGACAGGGACACGGGGACACAGCAGGGACAGCAGGGACACAGTGGGGACACAGCAGGGACAGGGACACGGGGACACAGTAGGGACACAGTGGGGACACAGCGGGGACAGGGACACGGGGACACAGCGGGGACAGGGACACGGGGACACAGCGGGGACAGTGGGGACAGGGACACGGGGACACAGCGGGGACACAGCGGGGACAGGGACACAGGGACAGCAGGGACACAGGGACATGGAGACACAGTGGGGACAGGGACACGGGGACACAGGGACATGGGGACAGGGACATGGGGTCACAGCAGGGACAGCAGGGAACAGGGACAATGAGGACAGTGGGGACACGGGGACACAGTGGAGACACAGCAGGGACAGCAGGGACATGGGGACACACTGAGGACACAGCGGGGACACAGGGACAACAGGGGCACGGGGATGGGGACACAGGGACAGCAGGGACACAGTGGGGACAGCAGGGACATGGGGACAGTGAGGACAGTGGGGACATGGGGACATGGGGACACAGCGGGGACAGCAGGGACACAGCAGGGACATGGGGACAATGAGGACAGTGGGGACATGGGGACATGGGGACACAGCGGGGACACAGGGATAGGGACGTGGGGACACAGCAGGGACACAGCAGGGACATGGGGACACAGGGACACAACAAAAAAAAAACAAAAAAATGCATTCCAATAAGCTCGTAAGTAATCAACCACCACCAAACCTTCCCACGCCAATTAACACACCAATTAAATCCGGGCCCTTGCAGGCGGTGATGGAGGCCATGGGCGTGCTGGCCATCGTGGTGAACTGCTACCTGCTGGCGCAGTGCGGGCAGCTGCGGCGCCTCTGCCCCTGGCTCAGCCCCGAGGGCGCCATCGTCTCCGTGGTGGTGCTGGAGGTACCGGCCCGGCGGGGCTGGGGGCCCCTGAGGTCACCCCGGGGTCCCCTGGGGTCACCCCGGACTGTGGGGTCCCCAGTTGGGTCAGGGGGATTGGGGTCACCCTGGGGTCTGGGGTCCCCAATTGGATTGGTGGGATTGGGGTTACCCCGGGGTGTGGGGTCCCCGGATAGGTCAGGGGGATTGGGGTCACCCCGGGGTGTGGGGTCCCCAGTTGGGTCGGTGGGGTTGGGATCACCCTGGGGTCACCCCGGGGTGTGGGGTCCCCAGATAGGTCAGGGGGATTGGGGTCACCCCGGGGTGTGGGATCAGCAGGGTTGGGGTCACTCCAGGGGTCCGGGGTCTCCAATAGGGTCAGGGGGATTGGGGTCACCCCAGGGTCACCCCAGGGTCCGGGGTCAGCAGGGTTGGGGTCACCACAGGGTTCCCACACTGGGCCAGATGTTGGGAAGGAAAGGCTGGATTTTGGGATGGAAATGTCAGATTTTGGGAAGGAAAGAATGGGATTTTGGGATGGAAGGGCGGGATTTCGGGAATGCCGGGAATGCTGAGCTGTGTCCCGTGTCCCCTGCCGTGTCCCCAGCACTTCGCCCTGCTCCTCAAGTACGTCATCCAGGTGGCCATTCCCGACATCCCCGCCTGGGTGGCCGAGGAGATGGCCAAGCTGGAGTACCAGCGCCGCGAGGCCTTCAAGGTGG